GTATTTCCCGTGAGTCCATTTCCTCCCTTCAACTCTTCTAAGAGAAAACAACAAAGGACTTAAGCTGCACATCTGTTTCCTGCGGCTCTACAGTACCAGCTAATCTTCCTGGCTGTCTGCACCGTGGATCTATTATTTCTAATGGCAAAACAATCAGGCTTTATGGCCCAGCTCCACATTCACTGGAATGGAAGCAGCACGTAATTTAATACTTTAGGAATTGGCTCCACAATTTTTGCCTCCAGCTCCCCCATTGTATGCTCAATAGGGATTTAAATGCTGCTATGATAATGGCAATAACTAGGTTCATTGGAGCTAGTGATAAACTATGAATGAAATGGATGACCCTAGGGCAGCGCGCTTCGTCCCTGTGGCTCACTGATTTACAGCGGAGCGCGGGCTTGTTTCATAACGACAGAAACCAGCGGTTTGTGCAAATAAAAACACACAAGTCAGTGGTTTCACCAACCTTTATGACCATTATGTGTTTAGGGCTGTTTTTTCCCCATTGCGCTTAAGTTCAAAGAGTGATAGAATGACGTTTCTGAATAGACAATTTAGACTCAAGGTAATGGTAGAAAATATCGATAAAGTGTTCTTTTTCATCTAAAAACACCTGGCTGGAATGAAAACACTTCAAAGCCAAAATATTGCGTAGGGTCTGATTTTTGTTTTTTGTTTTTTTCTTTTCTTGTGTGGTGTTTAACCTTCACTTGTCCAACATCTGTGCATGCGGCACATATTTTCATCCCAGAGTGTGAAACATGGCTGCTGTAATGAAAAAAATCTTGGTACGGTTGTGGTTTCCTCTGGAATACGATCGCTGAGAGATCAGCCACTGCAATGTTTGAAAATGAGAGAAAAACCTTCAGCGCTGATCTGGATTATTTACTTCTGACCAATTGAAAAAAATGTAGTTGGGGAAAAAAAAGAGAAATGGAGGACTTCAAACTTTGAGGTTTCATTTTAGCTGAAATGTGGGATGATTTCCTTCTTATTTTTCTGATCCCTTACTTTTCACTTCTCTGATTTATTGCATTTGGAACATTTTAATTTGAAGAACTACTCAGTCTGAATATCATATTTATGAATATGACCATTAACTTGCATAGTATTATAGAAAAATACTGAGTTAGGGCTTACTTTGGACCATTTCTATTGTTCCATTGCATTCTGTCCTTGTAAATAATGTGTTAATACAGTATTATTAGTTTATTAATACTTTGTAAATTTTGATGTTTATAAACAGTTTAAGACATTTTTTGTACAGTTAAACAGGTTTACTGCTTGATAAAAATGGTAATCTGTCTTATATATGTAATGCATTGTAACTGCTCATCAGTGGTTTATAAATTGTTTATAGCTGGTTAATAAACAGATTTTTTAACTATTTAATAATCATTTATTTGTGGTCTTATTGTAAAGTAGTACAACTTATACATTAGAATATTTTGTGAGACTTTTAATTTGTTAAAAACTTAATGTTAATGTTAAAAAATATTTGATTAATGTACAGTATTTAATGAAACTTGGCCAAAAATACAAACATAATTAAAAATAGAAGCTGAACTAGATGCTTTATATTTTGATGATTATTGATATTAAAAACAACAACAATATTATCTTATCCTTTATCAGCTGATCATCTGAATGTAATCAATTCATCAAAATATCAATGATCTCACTGACTTATTTCTGATTATAATCAGTCATTCTGAATTTTTCATGCAGGCTGAACATGAAAATAGTCTCCTACACCTGTCTCCTGCTTTAGCTTCTGATAGAAAATTGCCGATGAAACTCTGGGATTTGAAAATCGTGACAGATCTACATCTGTCACCATTCATGGACTCAAACATCTTGACTCACAAAAGGAAAGGCTGTTGTTGGTTTAGCGTCCGGGAAACAGTAGCAAACGTCTCGGCTAGTAGAAGCTAACATTAGCATTAGCAACTCCACCACACTGCAGAACTCCCCCAGGCTTGTGTTATTTGTGGAGATAAAACAGAGCAGACAGAGTCAGTGGCAGAGTCGAGTTGCTTTTATCAAATCTGGGCTGAGATGCAGGGGCGGATTTAGGACTGAAGAAGATCCGGGGCGTAACACACACGCGCACACACACGTGACACGTACTAGTCAACATCATATATTTTTGTCTTGTACCACATAATTTTTAATCTGAAGCTACATATTAAGCATTTTCAGGGCAGAGTATTGTTCCTGTCAGTGTTTAGTGTGAGATGATAGTAAATATTCCCTTTCTTTCTCCAACAACTTTACCTGATAGTAAGCTAACTTTAGGCAAACCAGCAGCACAACAAATATTTTCAAATAAGACTCACAAACCTGAGTCAACACCAGTCTCATCATAGCTGGGGTTCTGTCGTTGTACTTTTTGTCTAAGAAACGTCCTTATGTCCATCTTCACTCATGCGTTTCAGGCAGAGAGTGTAGAAGAAGCCGGCTGCTGAAGGGCTTCTTCTTCAGTGGTGGAGGCTCAGGCAGGCTGTATACAAACTACCACGTTTTTGAGCCAGCTGCTCCCTCTCTGTTGGACTTTGGTACTGCATGTTACTTCCACGATTTAGATCCGGGGCTTTTCATGAAACATCCGGGGCTTCAGCCCAAGTAGCCGGGCCTAACGCCGCCCCTGCTGAGATGTTCAGGAAATAAGCTGACTCAGCTGTGATGTGGGTAACTTTTAATTCCAAGAAAAGATGCCCCAGTACACCCCCCACCCCCACCCCCACCCCACACACACACATACACACATTGATTAAATGAGTATTCTACTCCTTTAAAATGTTTATATGTAATGTTTTAACCTGTAATATTTTTTGTAATATTTTAATTATTTTTTGTTGTGTTTTCTGGCAGTTTACTCTTTAATCTTCCTAACTCCTTACTCTTGTACTCTCCTTTTTGCTCTTGTGCATGTAGTTGCTGCTGTGACATAAACATTTCCCCACTGAGGGATTTTCTGTTCTTCTCTATTGGGTTAGGGTTAGGATTATGAGCAGCAATTGTATCTAAGTAGCACACTAGATCATGGATTATCCCAGAAGCTAGTTGGTCTGTTAGGAGCTAGCACAAATTAAAGCACAGACATCACTCAGGCTAAAATATGGAACGTGAAGACAAAAACAAACAGTCTAAAAACAAATTATAGCTGTGACACAATTGCCGCTGACCAATTCTGTCCCCCAAACTATTGCTTTCTCATCTTAAAAGATTTGAGGTTCAGCTGGACAAAGTATCTTTAATCTACAGGTTCCATTGTCTAGTTTGGACCAAAAGCAATAATACCCTATAGACTTGGACCAGACCGGGTCCAGAGAAGGAGAGTGTTAGCTGTGATTCACTTTGAATGGATTTTCCTCTCCTGATTCTGTGTAGGCGAAACTTCCTCCTTTCTCCTCTGCAGGACTTTAAGTGGTTCCATTCTGCTGAGTCCAGCTCTGAGCACCGTTGGTAATGCATCCCTAAGAGTTCATCCTCGTCAACCCAAGTTAGTTTGGTCAACTTAAATAGGTTTCTGGTTTATGGAGCTTCAAATCCGCTGCGGTTTTAGCCACACCAGCTTTAGCGAGTCCAATTATGCTGCTATTTCTGTTGTTCATGCATTTCGAGAAGTTTAAAAGTTTTCCTCTGGTCGTTAAAATGCCGACACTAATGAGGTAGAACAATGCTGTTATTAGACAGGAGGAGAAGGTTGTTTAATAGCTTCCATTAAAGACTTGCTTAGCTTACTTCATTATCTATGCTAACTTCCTCTCATTCTACACCATTTATTTAAAAACAGGGACAGGACAACAATGCAAAGCAACTCCAGGAACATTGATCTTACCCCGCAGCAGTCGTGACTCTTTGACAACTGCGACAGAGGCTATTCTTCCTGCAGCTATCACGCTACAGACTCACTGTGATTTTCAGTTTATCAGCAGTAGTTCCATTTGTCAGCGCGCTCGCAGTAGCGTGAATCACACAGCGTTGGTAATTACCATGCTCCCAACGTGTCTGTGGATATTTGCATATTTTGTGTATTAGTAAACAATAATTAACATATGGAGAAAAAAAAGAGTTAGAGGTTGCTTGTAAACCAGCTTTAATTGTGTGCATTTGTTTTTGAGTGAGGCTGACACAAACAGTTGATACGCTGAGCTTTGTTTGTTCGCAGAAATAATGAAAACAAAAAAAAAAAATCCTCATTATATTCAAGCATTTACTGAATTTAAACAGTGATTATGAGTGGAGATAAATAAAAGGACCACTTTTTCAGGATACACTGGATTATCGTCTGTAGTCAGGTAAAATGTTCTTTTCAGGACATGAATTATGCAAAAACGAATACATCATCGATTTCTTGCAAAGTGCTTTTTTTTATTACACCTCTTTGCTCACTTTTTAACTGTTTACAGTGTTGCAGCATCAAAACATGCATCTCACCGAGTTTTGGTGCTAAATCAGTAGTTTACCGCAGCTTTTTAAGCCATTGGACAATATAAACATGCGTTGTATTTCAGTTTTTCTTTGGATTCAAGAGAGAACCAACCACAGAGAAAATCCTGACATTACTAATATCTGACACGTTGTTCCTCTGAGTAATTCTCTGGTTATTCGCTCTTGCATTAGCAAGCCTGATTAACTGGACAAACTCTAAAAATAAAACTGGATTAACAAATCAACCAACTCTGATCACAGATGAATTACAACAGGATTTTTTTTTATTTTTATCGTGTGTCCATCCGATTGCTGTAATTTTCCTAACAGGTATAGCCTGTCCTGTTATTTTGTATATTATGTCACCATAATGGAATTTCTTTAAATAATTTTAGCAACTTTTACAATAATTTTATTTGTGATTTCTTGGTATATATTTTTGTATTTTTTCATACTGGTTTGTCATTTTTTATGTCTGTTGCCTTGTTCACAGCTGTACTTCATAAAAGCAGCTTCCTTTTCTCCTCTTTGATTCACTTTCTGATTGTGTCCTTTTCCAGCCTTTGTGCTCAGCTGCTCATTCCCCAAAGAGCCTGCTGCTGGAGAAGTTTCTGTGACTCACCTCCATGCTGGCGGAGAAGCCTTCTTCAGATGTTTCACTGGATACAAGCTGCAGGGTCCCAAAATGCTCACGTGCCGCAACGCAACCACTCCGTACTGGAGTGGAAAAGAGCCCAGATGTGTGGGTGAGAAATCGCTTTTGTTTGTTTTTCCTTGTGCAGACAGATCCACTGTCTCTAATATGCCTAATTGTGTTTTCGATCTATAAGATGCAGGGCTGTTTTATGTGCTTTTCTACACCATTGCTCTAAATTGTCTGAAATATTTCCTTCAGCTTCAACAATTAAAACCAACAGTAAAATAAATCATTTCGGAACTTGAGAGAATAAAGTAAGGGAGCAATTTTCTCACCAGGTTGTCTTGAGAAACCAGGTAATTGTGATTAACGAAAGCTTTCTCTACATTTTCTCCCGCTGAGTTGATTTGCGAGGCCGACTGTGCACGGCACCTATTCTTTGGAGATGAGGCAAAACAAAGCCATTGGACGTGGCTGCTTTTATTAAAACACCTGCCTGTTCATCTCCTCCTCTCGAAGGCTCATCTGCCTGTTCCACCTTTCACTTTTCCTGCCTGCAGCTGCTCTCAATTTATAGTGTTACTGCTGCCATTTTGCCATGCTTTTCTCTGAGAATCAGGCCCTCTCAGACCCAGGAGAGGTGCCTAGTGCTGTCCTGCAACAGTCCACTGTTGAAGCAATCTGTGCACAGACAGGAACTTTTCCTCTAAAATCCCCCAGTTGATAGTGTCATTACTTTTTTTCATCTAGTTTTATCCCCTAACTCTTACTCTTTTCTTTCTGTTTCTTCTCACAAAGCATCTTGTGGCGGAATGATAAAAAATGCCACGTATGGTCGTATCGTTTCTCCTGGTTTCCCTGGCAACTACAGCAACAATCTGACCTGCCACTGGGTATTGGAAGCCCCCGAAGGCCAGCGGCTTCATATCCACTTTGAGAAGGTGGCTTTGGCCGAGGACGATGACAGGTATGCATAACATATTTGGGGTGATGGTGGCAGAGTAGTTAAGTGTCCACCCCATAATTGGAAGGTTGCAGGCTCGAGCACCACTCAGCCTTTTGCCGTAGTCTTGGGCAAGACACTTAACCCACCTTGCCTGCTGATGGTGTTCGGAGGAGCTCGGCAGCCTTGCATAGTATTATAGAAAAATACTGAGTTAGTTAGCTCCAGCACAGCTGTGGCTACACTGTAGCTCATCACCAACAAGGTGGGATTATGTGTGTGGGTGGGTGGATGGCTGATTGTGTTTTAAGGCACCATGGGGTGTTCTAGGACTCCAGAAGGTTCTCTATCAAATACAAGCCATTTATCATCTCAACATACACCAGTAATCAAACCTAATTGTTTTTTTAGCCTCTAAGAAAGCCTTAGCTAATTTAGAAATGGACAATGTTGGACCTCTAAAGATATTGTATGGGATCTGACACCAATTGATCCCCGTCGGGCTCTTTATTTCCTTTGAGTTGTAAAGTTGGGGCCAATCACACGAGTTACTAAAGACCTCTGAATGGTACTTGACCCATTTGTGGTGATTTTTTTAGACAAAGTAGAAATTTTGAGCCAGTTTTGCTATGTGCTTGGATGTATTGTGTACATGGAAGAAACAATGTTGCCATGAAGTCAATCACCACTAATCAGCTATGACATCAGTGGAAAAGCACAACCAATCATGGCGAACAGGACACAAAGCTTGAAAGTTTGGGAACATTTTATAACAACACAAGAGAAGCATGTGCAATGCAACATCAGCAAGGTGCAAGGTAGCTTGCCATCCATGACTCTACAACAGTGATGCATGTTATGACAACAACATGCTAACTTTCTAGTTATGTGCTAACATCAACAGTGAGTTACTTGCATTGACAGCTGTAACTTTAACAGTGGTGGTGGCCATTTCATTTCATTTGGCACACGTCACACGCTTGCTGTAACGTTGCAAACATCAATGTTTACTATAAGAAGAAGCACGTTGCGGCAGACATGATTAACAGTTGCTAAGCTTATTCGCTAGTTAGCTGCTAACATTACAGTAAGCTACTTGTAATGATAGCTGTTACTTTAAAAGTAGTTTCACTACCCCTAACACGTGTGTCGTGTTTGCTGTAATGTTACAAACACTAATATTGTTGACGCTACGTTAAACTGTTACGAAAGCATTCTTCTGTGGATGATCTTGCTACCAAGCCAGCATTATTTTTTTGCTTTCTTATCCCCAGTGGCTTGTTTTTCTTATTTTCCATAAGTTGAAAAGTTAATTAAAATTTGTTGAATGTGTCAGGTTCGTTGGCAGATCAGAAGCGTGACTGAGAGTTCGGTTGCCCAGACGCGGAGAGACGGAGATAACCGGCGTGGTTATCTCCTGAAGGTGTAGTTTGGAATGTTTTGAGGGCTGGTAAGCCTGGAGACTCGATACAAAGTCTGGTGAGAACGATGACTGAGCAATGAATGAAACGCCGGCACTTCCTTAAGTAGTGTCGGCGTGATGACGTCAGTCGCCACGTTGGTGGCAGGAATGAATGGAATGCAGTCAGCTGGAGGAGTTCGTGACAGGACCCCCCCCCCTCTAGGGACGGCACCCGAAGTCCCAGGACGGCGGGCCCAGAAGTCAGTTAGCAGGGTAGGGTCGACAAACGAGCTCGTGGGCTCCCAAGAGCATTCCTCAGGCCCGTACCCCTCCCAGTCCACGAGGTACTGCCAACCTCGTCCCCGGCGGCGAGCGTCCAGAATCCTGCGGACCGTGTAGGTGCGATCCGCCTCAACACCGCGGGGCGGAGGCACCCGGACCGGCGGAGGGTGGAGAGGGGAGGAGATCACCGGCTTAAGCTGGGAGACGTGAAAGACCGGGTGGATCCGGAGAGTAGCCGGGAGGCGCAGACGGCAGGTGACTGGATTAATGACCTTGAGGACAGGGAACGGACCCAGGAAGCGAGGAGTGAGCTTCCGGGAGCCCGCCGGCATCCTCAGGTTAGCGGAGGAGAGCCACACCTGGTCGCCAGACCGGAAGACGGGGCCAGGCCGGTGGCGGCGGCGATGCTGACGGGCATACTCCGTGTTGGCCCGGGTGATGGCCGCACGGGCCCGGATCCAGGCGAGCCGACAGCGGCGGACCAGCGTCTGGGCAGCAGGGACCTCCACCTCGGGCACCTGATGGTCAAACAGAGGAGGCTGGTACCCGTAACAGGTCTCGAAGGGAGACAGACTCGTGGCAGAGGAGGTCTGGAGGTTGTGTGACAGCTCCGCCCACAGGAGAAAGCGGGGCCAGGTGGTCGGCTGGGACGAAGCGAAGCAGCGCAGGTAGCGTCCAAGCTGCTGGTTAGCTCTCTCTGTCTGACCGTTTGTCTGTGGATGGTACCCAGAGGACAGACTGGTGGAAGCACCGACCAGGCGACAGAACGCTTTCCAGAAGCGTGAGACGAACTGGGGTCCTCGGTCGGAAACCACGTCCTGAGGGAAACCATGGAGTCGCACCACCTGTTCCAGGAGCAGTTCGGCCGTCCTCTTGGCAGTGGGGAGGCCGGCCAGGGCCACTAAGTGCACGGCCTTGGAGAAACGGTCCGTGATAGTCAATATAGTGTCCAGGTGGTCGACCGCCGGCAGTCCCGTGACAAAGTCCAGCCCGATGTGTGACCACAGCCGCTTGGGCACAGGGAGAGGCTGCAACTCTCCAGCGCCGGGTCGGTTGGAGGACTTGGAGCGAGCACACACATCACATGCAGCTGTGAACTCGCGGACGTCCCTCCTCATGGATGGCCACCAGAGAGCCCGACGGAGGAACTGGAGGGTACGGGCTTGTCCTTGATGTCCTGCGAGCCGCGAACAATGCCCCCACTTGAGCGCCTCTTGCCGGCAGGAGGCGGGAACGTAGAGACGGTTCGATGGGGTCTCCGGCGGCGCTGGATCGCCAGGAAGTGCCGCCTGTATGTACTGCTCCAACGGCCATTGGAGGGAGGCCAGGAAGCGTTGAGTCGGTAGAATGGTCCGAGGCTCCGGGGGGGCGGCATCTGGTGCGAAACGCCGAGAGAGAGCGTCCGCCTTGAGGTTCTTGGAGCCGGGCCGGTAGGCAATATGGAAGTGGTACGGCTCGAAAAAGAGGGCCCACCGAGCCTGACGAGGGTTGAGCTGGCGGGCAGTCTGTAGATGAATGAGATTCTGGTGGTCGGTCCAGATCAGAAAGGGATCGGTGGTCCCCAGGAGCCACTGCCTCCATTCCTCCAGCGCCCATTTTATTGCCAGCAGCTCTCTGTCGCCGACCCCGTAGTTCTGCTGTGTGGGGGGAAAACTTCCGGGAGAAGTAGGCACATGGGTGGAGCTTAGAGTCTGGACCCCGTTGCGAGAGAACGGCCCCCGCTCCCACATCCGAGACGTCCACCTCCACGACGAAGGGCCGGGTCTGGTCCGGGTGGAGGAGGATGGGTTCTTTAGTGAAACGTCCGACCAGCTCATGGAAAGCACGGACAGCCTCTGGAGTAAGGCGAAAAGGGCGAGGCTGATTGGTGGTTTTGGTGAGTGAGGTCAGAGGCGCTGCGAGGGAACTGAAGTTGCGTATAAACCTCCGGTAAAAGTTCGAGAAACCCAGGAAGCTTTGCAGCTGCTTCAGGGTCGTGGGTAGAGGCCACTGAGCTACGGCCTGAACCTTCTGGGGGTCCATCTTCAGGCCCTGGGAGGAGATGGTAAAACCCAGGAAGGAGGTGGACTCCTGGTGAAACGCACACTTCTCCAGTTTGCAGTAAAGTTCATGGTCCAGGAGGCGGGACAGAACAGCTCGAACATGCCTGATGTGCTCTTCAGCAGTGCGAGAGTAGATGAGGATGTCATCTAGATACACAAAGACCCAGCGACCCAACATGTCTCTCAGCACATCTGTAATGAACCGCTGGAAGACGGCGGGGCTGTTACAGAGTCCAAAAGGCATCACCAGATATTCATAGTGGCCAGTGGGCGTGATAAAAGCGGTCTTCCACTCCTCACCTTCCTTAATACGGATGAGGTTATAGGCGCTGCGCAGATCCAGTTTAGTAAACACAGCGGCTTGTGTGATGGCGTCCAGAGCGGTGCCCATGAGAGGGAGAGGGTGACGGTCCCGGATCGTTATTTTATTTAACCCTCGATAGTCTATGCAGGGCCGGAGATCCCCCTCCTTCTTAACAAAGAAAAACCCCGCGGCCCCGGGGGATGTTGAGGGACGGATGAATCCCTTCTGCAGGGCATCAGTTATTTAATTGTCCATAGCCCGGGTTTCCGCCGGAGAGAGGGAGAACAGGCGACCCCGAGGGGGGGTGGTGCCGGGCTGGAGCCTGATCTCCAGGTCGTAGGGTCGGTGAGGAGGTAACCTGGTAGTGGGTTCTTTAGCGAAGACCTGAGCGAGGTCGTGGTAGTGAGGAGGGATGAGCGTCAGGTCTACGTCTGTGGGAGGGGCTGCTCCAGTCCGAGGTGCAGGGGAGTCCCGGTGGTTATGGCAACCCGTGCCCCAGGCCAGGACTTTACTGGTGGACCAGGAGATGTGAGGCTCATGGCGGCAGAACCAGGAATGACCCAGGATGAGAGGCGTAGCCGGAGCCTGGATGACCAGGAAGTGGAGGGTCTCCCGGTGTTGGTCAATAGTCATGTGGAGACCCTGAGTTTGGTGGGTGAGAGGGTACGGCATGATGGGCCGGCCGTCCACAGAGGTCACGGGAATGGGTCGGTTGAGGGCGGTGAGGGGTATCTTGAGCCGAGTAACCAGTCCGTGATCGATAAAACACTCCGCAGCCCCAGTGTCTAAAAGTGCCTCCAGTCTGGTCGGGCCTTGGTCCAGGTGGAGGGAGACCGGGAGAGTGGTTCGGTGTGGAGCCGGAAAAGTGGAGACTCCGGGCGGGACAGCTCCTACTCCGACCCGGAGGGACCTTTTCCCGGTCGTTTTGGGCACGTGCCACGGTGGTGACCCAAATCCCCACAGTAAGCGCATCTTCCCTCCTGGTAGCGCCGTGCCCATTCCTCAGGGGGAAGATGTCCCAGCTGCATCGGCTCCTCCGTCGGTTGGTGAGCCGGCCGGTGGGGTGACGTCCTGGTGTGTACGGGGGCTGACATGGTGCTCGGCCGGTTTAGGATGCAGCGGTCCAGTTGGAGAGCCAGATCCACTGCCAGGTCCAGGGAGGTTGGGACCTTGTGCCCGATCATGCCCTCCCGGATTCTCGGTGACAGTCCCTCCAGGTAAACGGCCTTTAGGGCGGCGTCATCCCACCTCAACCGAGCTGCTGTCGTCCGGAAGCGAGAGGTGTACTGAGCCGCCGTCTGGGAGCCTTGGCGGAGCTGAAGCAGCCGAGTCTCGTCCGAGACCTCGCTGCTGGGGTGCACAAAAGTCTTTTTCATCTCCTTTACAAAAGTCTCATAGTCATTGCAGGCAGGAGATTTCTGATTGTAAAGAGCCGCCGCCCATTCACCGGCTCGACCTGTCAGCAGTGAGGTCAGCAGGGCGACGCGAGAGCAGGATGTGGGGTAGCGTGCTGGCTGGCACTCAAAAGTCATGGCCAGGGTCGCCAACATGCCCTCCGGGGACCCCCTGGTTCCGTCCCACTTATCTGGAAGGCTGAGGCGTGGTTCCATTCTGTCAGGAACAGCTGCGGTCTGACGTTGCAGAGCGGTGGTCAGCTGGAGTACTAGATCGGTGAGTGACTCTATCTTGGTGGCTTGGCGATCAGCTATGGCACGGAGCTGGTTCATTTCTGCCGTATGCTGATCCAAGGTTGCGCGCTGTTGAGCCACTTCGGCACGCAGACGCGCGAACTCCGCTGGGTCAATTCGTGGCTCAGTCATCCTGTCAGGTTCGTTGGCAGATCAGAAGCGTGACTGAGAGTTCGGTTGCCCAGACGCGGAGAGACGGAGATAACCGGCGTGGTTATCTCCTGAAGGTGTAGTTTGGAAGGTTTTGAGGGCTGGTAAGCCTGGAGACTCGATACAAATTCTGGTGAGAACGATGACTGAGCAATGAATGAAACGCCGGCACTTCCTTAAGTAGTGTCGGCGTGATGACGTCAGTCGCCACGTTGGTGGCAGGAATGAATGGAATGCAGTCAGCTGGAGGAGTTCGTGACAGAATGAACTACTCTCTTAATTGTCTTTATTTATAGACAGCACATAACACTTAAGGATAAAACTTTAAGTTAGAAGCTGAAGTATAGTTATTGTACAGTAGCTGCACGCAGGTAACGATAAGCTACAATTTACGCAAAAGCTGATTAGTCGAGTAATCGCCAAAAAAATGTGATTAGTTAGGAAAATATCGAGATAATTGTTTGTAGCAGCCCTAGATCCATTAAACAAATACATTTCTTAACTCTCTAGAGTCCAGTTCTAAAACGCTTCCTGATTTTAGGTGCGTTTGGTATAAAACACGGATCGGCATTGGTCTATATGGAGTCATTTCAGTGCATGATTTTTTTCAGTGACTCGCTGCATTAGCTCTCCTGTTGGATCAGAAAAAAACTAGTCAGTTTTTGTTCTGCAGTGCGTCAGTGAGCCACGGCCTCCCATGACCTCGTCACCCATTCAATATTCTTTCTTCCTGAAACACTCCTGGTGGGTCCTAACCCCTGCAGATTGGGAACATTCTACAAGAGCTATCGTTATGGAGACGCAGTGATCCAGATATGACATCATGATTTGGCTCCTGTCAAAATCACTTAATTCCACATGCCTCTGTATTTTTTTTTCTAACACATCAACTTCAAGGACTGAAACTTTACTTCCCATCTCATTTATTCTGCCAGCTGCAAGGTGTCACGGTAGCCCAGTGTTTTTCACCTTACCTGAAACTGGTTATGGCTGGTCTGTGTGCACTGGCAGTACAACTAAACCGAGAGTGCGGAAAATGAAATTTTCAGACTTAAAACTCATTCTTTGGATGTGAATATCCATTTGAATGGAGCATTACATTCTCAAAGGTGCTCAAAGACCAACGTTTGTTTGTCAGAAACACAAAAATGAGAGAAAATTCATAATGAGAAAGTGGATCCAGAAATTCATTTCACCAGCAAGACTACGGTAGCATAAAAAGGAAACAGCCATTTATTATATTCTCTATTGATTCTGCGGATAACTTAGTCATTGTTATGTTCCTGATTACAAAGTGGTTTCAGATACTAACAAAAACCTATTACAGCAGTAATCCTAGTCACATTTACATCTGTCTGTTTTTTTCTCTTTTCCTTTATTTCAGGTTGCTAATAAAAAATGGAAACAACATTGACTCTCCTCCTATATACGACTCCTATGAGGTGGAGTACTTACCAAATGAAGGAGTGCTCAGTACCGACCGCTACCTGTTTGTAGAGTTCACCACGGACGGGTCGGTGACGTCCACCGGTGCAGCCATCAGATATGAAGGCAGGCAGATTGTGCATTTGGCTAAAAACTTCCTGAATGTCTTTTAGGACTAATTCTATTTACTCTGTGTCAATAGCCTTCGCAAAAGGGATGTGCTACGAACCCTTTGTGAAGTACGGCAACTTCAGCAGCAGCGACGCCACCTACAACTTGGGAGCGGTAGTGGAATTTTCCTGCGACCCTGGCTACACGCTGGAACAAGGTTCTGTAGTGATTGAGTGTGTGGATTCACAAAACCCACAGTGGAATGAGACGGAGCCGGCCTGCAGAGGTAAGTCAACAGATTTCACCCGCCTAAGTAACCGTGGCTTTAAATACATGAGCTTCCAGTGAAGACGTTAGTCAAATATGACTGACCGAAGCACCCAAGGCTTTGTCTGCTTGATCATTTAAAGTCTTTTGTTCAAATATTAAATACCACCAGCAGTTAACTATATCTTCCTAAGCTGCTTTCCTCTGATTCGTGATACTTTTTCCCTCTAAAAATTAGTAGCAATGAATTACTTTGATTTATGTGCTTGCAGGGCAGATTTTAGAAGTGCTCAAGATGAAAGGCACACAATAGCTGCCCCGAGTTGAAAGCTGCATAGTGCAAAGACTATGCACGATATTAATAACAGCCTGCAAAAGCTTTTCCTCCCTATCGCCCTCTTGCCATATACACAGATGTAGCACGCTGACCTTACTCAGCTCCTTTAATGCCTGCGTGGCCGCTCTGTCTCAGGGTGAAATTGAAAGGCTTTCTTGTAATGCTAGATGTGGGAAAATTTAATTTTTGCTCTTGAGGGTCATGGTCACCAAACGGCTCATTGTTAGTGTTCGGTCCAACAGGGTTCCAGTTTGCACATTCTATTTCACCAGTCCTTTAAACTTCACAGTCCACTGGATTGAGTCAAAAATAGTTGCTGTGTCAACATGTCTCAGTGTAAAGCGTAGGAGTTTTTCTGTATCTGTGCGTGTGTTCCAGTTTGCTTTTCACTGTTAACCTGTGTTATCTGGTTTGCAGCGGTGTGCAGTGGAGAGATCACAGACTCCGCCGGTGTGGTGCTGTCTCCTAATTGGCCCGAGGCCTACGACAAGGGGCAGGACTGCATCTGGGGTATCCATGTGGAAGAGGACAAAAGGATCATGCTTGACATCCAAGTGTAAGAGTCTATAAAAGGGTCTGAGCTAGAAATCACACAAGGGATGTCAGGAAGTTAGGCGTGAGGTCAGACGGAGCTGACAATGGATGTGAGTCCAGTCTCTTTGCTTTTGTTTGTTAACCTGTCTCTTGCTACCAGACATGTATCCACAAAGAAACAGTGTTTCTGTGGCAGCAGTTGTTAATTAGATTTTTTTTTTTTTTAGATCCGCCTACATTAAGAATTCTGTACCGCTTCCAGCTCACTCTCTGACCAGATTAGCCAGTAAGCCTCCCCGCTCTCACTTCCCTGGTGTGTGCCTCCGAGTTGGCTTTGAAATGAATATGCTCTGGCAGTGAACTACTCTGAGCCACTTATCCAGTCTACCCAACTGTAATTCACCACACATGTACAGATGTCAAAACAGACGCACGCAGTTTTCACCTTCACTTATCACTTTTACATGAATGCACATTTCACACACACACACACACACATTCACACACAAAAACACCTGCATCTTCATTTCTGCAGCCGTTAATAGTCTCAGAAGAAGTAAAAGTTTTCACATCAGCTTGATCTAAAAACCAATAAGACTCTAGTTAGTGCATTCAGATCTGCATCTCATCTTGTTATCCTACATTGATTCATCACTTTACCTCAAATGAGTGATTCCCACCATCCATCCTATAGTTAGCTCAGAACAATACAGCTTAAGTGATTTGTGTTATTGCCCGAAGCCTTTGCGTGGAGAGGTTAAAATTAAACTAGTGGGAATAGCGCCTGAGGTTTTGCCAAACAGAAGGCACTTGGGTCATTTGTACATGCAGGCATGTGCTTCCCTCATGTTGGGTATTTCCCATAAATCTCCCCTGGACAGGCTGCAGTTAACTTTTAATTATGACATCAGGTCTGGAGTTAGTGGACGCATTTCAAACCTCTTCACCTACGAAACAAATCAAATCACCGTCATCGCTGCAAATCTCTTGGACATAATGAGTCGCAGCTGATCTGAAACGCATTAGTTGAATGATTTTGAGTCAAAAACAAGTGAACGTGTCATCAGTTTGAGGATGGCACACCAAGTTGGTGCTTCTGGCAACGCTGGCCCCCTTTAGCTGTGCATTGTGTGTTCCTTCATTCGTTTTCATTAAAAAACAAAATGCAACATTTACCTCAAGTTTTAAGAAAAAATAAACCATTTCGGTTATTTAAGTCGTTTTTATTTCCACATTTATTGTTTTACCATTTTAGAACAGTTTAATTTGCTTCTCGCTGTCCCAACGAAAGCATCCACAAAAATAGTTATGGCATTTATTTATTAAAACGGTGAGCAGCAGAAACAAATATATTATTTTAATTATGATTTGTTTATTTACTTATTAGTTATATATTCAATTCTTGTGTTTTACTTCATATCTCGATTAAAGGGGGTGAATGAATGGCATGTATGAACACGGATGAGATTTATTGATGACACTTTACAAAAACTGTCCCTTTATTACTGTTACTTTGTGCATTATTAAGCATTAATAAATCCTATCCTTATTAAATAAAGTATCAACAACTGCTTAACCATTTTATGTAATACATTACATAACCCTAACACCCCCCATGGTTGTTGTCCTAACCATAGTGAGACTTAATAGTAGGAATAACAATAACGTTGTTTATTAATGCTTAATAATGCACTAAGTAACATTCATAAAGGAACCCTTATTGTTAAGTGTTATTGATTTATTTAAGTGAGGGAGGTCTTCCCTGGCAGGGGCTACTGGGGTGGCCAGCAATTTTCCATGGCGGGCCTTGGCCACCTCTTGGGTGCGCCACTGCATATTGTCACATGAAAATGAACTGTTTGTTAATTTGTGGCATCTTTGCTCTCATAATGATAATTACATTAAAAAATGTTTCAAAATGATGCCCCCCCCCCCTCTCTTAAGTGTTTAAAAAACACTTCGGGTCAAATGTATAGCAAGGGAGAGATTGTTGAGTCAGTGAAGCTCTGATGGTGATTCAGGTGACACTTCAGTTTAATAATTCATTAGTTTATTCCTGGATGCACTGAACGCTTCATCAACAATGGCTGAAAAATTATGGATTTCTAATCTGAGCAGCAGTTTGTTTGCCTTCACACCTCCCTCTCAGTAACATAACTGGGTGTTACCGGGCTTGGCGAGTGTAATTGAAACTGATAACATCAAAAATACACATTTTTACATCAGTCTCAGGATTTGTTCTTAGCATTTGTGAATTTGTGGATTATTTTTCTGCACATGCTCAGATGATAAGATGTGTCACTGTAGCTTCATGCACATAACATTATCTCTTACAGCAGCTGAGATATGAGCCGTCCTTCTGAATGATCCACAGGAATAAAAGAATGAGTGGATACAGGGTTTTATGTGACCCTGCATCCCTCGCTGTTCTTTAGATGGAGATTAAGAGTCTGTGATTAATGTCGGATGCTGGCAGCCTAGCAGTGCATCGTGGGTAAAAGAAAAGATCAGAGGGGATTTTTCTCTGTGCAGAAGTAAACAAGGTTGGTTCTAGGTAATCTGATTTTCATTCAGAGATCTCTTTTTAAATTGCACCACCCTAAAGTTTGTTTTAATCCGAGCCACGCGAGGATGCTCACTGTAAATTAATAGTGTTGCGGCTGGGTTTGGTTTATCTCAAAGTTGGTCAGGCGTGGCCGTCTCGGCAGCTGAAGCAGCTAGCCTGCCGAGCCCTGCGGTCCCTGACCATTACCTTTGTGTCCGGTCTGTTTAGCTGGAGAAAAGCATTCCTAAAGGCCTTGGTCAACGTGTAATTTGTGTCTAAGTGTGTTTGCGTGCAAAAGGCTCTTGTGGATAAGAGCTGTCTCATTATGAGGGTGGGAACACACTTTTCCACATTAATGAGAATGTTTTCTGTGTTATCATTCATCAATGTGCCTGTGCTGGCAATTACAGAGGAGCAGTGTGCATAATGAGGACTGATTAATTAATTTAGGCCAAACAGGAGGGCTGGTTCTTTGCTAATTAGCATGGAGCGTAGCTAGAGCAAGAGCCAGAAACAAGAGGTTACAGCTGATATCCCCACCTGTGGAACAAGTAGGTGAATGGTGCACATGCGGATTAGCATTCGGAGTGAACTGTATATGTTTCAGAGTACTACACAGTAATTGGTGTTTGTTTACTGACCAGTAAGGTGGATTATTTGCTATTAGGTTTATAGAGTCCTCTAGTGGAGATTAATGGAAGTACATGTGATTTTGTCCTGCAGATGTTTAGATTTCATTTCAAACTATTAGAATAAATCACAATAGTAGATGCTATTTCTATTCTGCTTGAGCTACTAGAGATTAGCTGGGGCTTTTTTAAACTTGTCAGGTCGGTGAAGGAGACAAATGCCTAGAGGCTTGAGGGGGAAAAAAACCCTGTCCTCCCCTCATTCCTTCAGCTGGATCTAGCTGGTGAGTTTAGTATTCAGTTGAGTTCACGTAAATCCTGCAGGTTTCTCTCCGAGTTGAAACTTTGAAAACACTGAAAACACGTTTAATTAAACAAAATCTCTAACTAAAGAGCGCTTTTGTTTTATGGATGTTTGCTTCAGTTTTTTGATGTTTTTATCACCAAAATGCAAAAGATGGAACGTAATGATTTTGTCTTCCGTGTGCATTCACTAGAAAATATAAACCAGGTGAGATTTGAATGACTCTTTTTTAGGATAGAATCATTGGAAGTGCATCTGATTCATTTTTGGGGTCAGCCCAGTTCAAATTGGCTGCCACTGCTGTTCGACATTAGCAAACATAATAAAGGCTATAGCTTGGTCAATTTTAACTGACACTGAGCTGAGATTTGGTGAAGCACCCAGTCCCATACACACATATACTGGTTGCAGGAAATATTTGCATTAAAGGGATACTAATCAGTTTTAGCTTGCTTTTAGCACCCCTTAGTGTCCGTTAGTTAAAGCGAAAGTAATACTCTCTGTTCATTTGTCTATTAAACACCTTAGTATATCGCCTGAAAGGTCTCCCCAGCTTTCCTTAGTGTCTACAGGAGTGATTCATCACTCAACGAACATATCAGCTGTGTGTATGTTCTAAAACATGCAGGAAATGTGCTAGATGCAGACTGTAGCACCAAGCATGTCAGCTCCATAAGTCCAACAGGGACGGGATCAGCAACTCTGAAGTTGCAAGTGCGTTTAACAGGCCATAGAGTGTGGTGCGGTGAGTGACATTTCATTCAGCTTGTAAAGGGTTATTTTAGCACACGTTAGATCAATAAAATGATTTAAACTATGAAAGATTTGCTTAATATGCCTTTAACCTGCTCAGCCCTTTGCCTTTAGATTTGATCCAGCCTACCTGTTCGTATAATGTCTAATGAAGCATCGTGGGGATTTTAATGACATTTCCATCGTGTTGCTGATTTACTACTGATTCCATTTTTGAGTCAGTACATTTAAAGATGGCCGCTACAGCTTCTCCCAGACAATCGTCACCGGCACAATGATGGTTCTGACAGTCAGTGACATCCCCATCACTCATTCAAAGAGATACACAAAAGACCTTCTCAGAGGCCTAATGGTAGAGTGTCTTCCCTGGGTCGGGGAGATCGGGGTTCAAATCCTGGTCGGGTCATACCAAGACTTTAAAAATGGAAGCCAATGCCTCCCTGCTTGACACTCAACTTTACAGGGTTGGATTGGGGGGGGGGGGGGGGGGGTTAAACCACCAAATGGTTTCTGAGAGCAGCCACATCTGCAGCTCGCCACTACCCATGAGGATGGGTCAAATGTGGAGATGAATTTTACCATTGTGTGGTGACTAATGGGACCTTAACTTTAAACATCTTAGGTTAAGCCCTGTCTGTAATCAAAATATCTCAACTACTGGATGGATTTGTTGAAATACACAAAAAATAATTGATTGCATGCACATATGGGGCTGATTAACCTTTTGGAGTCAACTTCATTTATAAACAGACCTTTGGAAACACCAATAGTGGTTTATTTAAAACATATTGATATTGTAATTCTATTAAAAGTTAACATAGTTGTAGGTGTGAGAATTTTACAAGACATGTTCCATGTGCTCACAAAATCCCACATAAGATGGATTTAGTGTCAAACTTTTTCTTGAAAAGCACCAATCACTTTCTTCAATGAATGCTGGGTCTTTTATTTCTTTTAGCTTTGCCATTATAAACATTATTATCATTATTATTATTATTATTATTATTATTATTATTATTATTATTGCGACTGATTAGCTGCAAATCCTGAGCCTCATCAAAGAGCAGCTGTCAGTGCTGAAGTACTCCAGCAGTATTCTGAAAAATGTTAATGTTATTCTAAAATAAAATAAAAAGATGAACAGACATGAAATGAATGGAATGAAAAAAAAAAAAAAACAACTGCCAACTTATTTGCTGATTTTGCATCTCTGGGTGTAAATGACTGCTTTAACTGTTGAGAAGAATCCAAATGAGTTGGTATTTGAAAGGCTTTTTTACATGGTTGCTACACAGAAGAAACTGTTATAGTTGTGAAATGAAAGCACCTGCGATGAGGGTTTCTTTGTGGCCTTCCCGTGGTTTTATTTGATGCACACAGTTGAATTTAAATTATTCTTAACTAAAGTAGATGAGGGAACTATTTTGTATTTGTTTTTGTGTCATCTGTGCCACAGGCTCCCAACTTTAAACCCATTACCCTTTTTGTCCACTGGGCGTGAAGATGTGGCGAAACGGCCACAAAACGCACTACACAACAATTAACCACACTTACAGTGGTCAGGTTCCTTTCCACATTTTGGATGTGTCCCAGATGGGAAGAGATGCTATCGTTACCTTAAGTTTTTATTTTTGTCGCACCACGATTCCATATTACATAAAACTCCAGTCTTTAGGTAGGAAATCAAACACAAAAGCAGTGTAAAACATCTGGAAACTTTCAAAATAAAAGCCATGTGCAGATGAACATATGTCATTTCCTGTGAAACCCCGTAGTTGATGTAAACTGTGATCGAGTTGTTTTCCAGGCGCACATGGTATACGTCATTTGATTTACTGTGATTGGCTAAAGACAAAATATGGTACCCAGTGCCAGCCGGGCACTAGCTTGCGTGTCCTCCAATCAGCTCAATATATTCTACCAGATAGCCCTCCCTCTTTCAGACGGTTTCTGCTGCAGTCTCGACACGGGGCTACACATAGAGACCTGGCTACTGCCGGGTTACAAACCCGATATGTTTTATTAGAACTAGGAGAGGGACTCGATAAAAAAATGTAATCTAATTAATTGGAGGCTTTGTAATTAATTAATCTTAATTAATTGTTCATGAAAAATTTGCCACCAAACTATTTTTTTTTATTTTTAAATTATGAGGCAGAGAATCAAACGTTAGACACGGATATTATTTTGTAAACTTGAGCTCTCAATTTCTGAAAAGAACAATGCTTTTTAATTATTAAACGGTCACTGTGTTATACAAAACAAAACCCCAATCAGCTAAAATTCATAATTGCAAATAGAAAACACCTATAAGGGTTCCTGAGCCTTTAAATCAGCGGTTCTCAATAGGTGGGCCGCGGGCCATGTCCGGCCCACGGGCCCCCTCAGACCGGGAGGTGTAGGAACGGCAGCCGTGTGCATGCACTACGCTGTTGTATTGCAGGCTGGTGTAATGAACTGCCACTGCATGTAAACATTAGCCCCTTTAGCTCCGATCAGCTGACAACCGCTTTGACACACTTTGCGGCTGAATTAACGTACGTAACGCACAGTCACTCGTCTCATAAAAATATATTAAACCGACAGAATTGTTTAGAAAATTATAATAAAATTTTAGGAGCGTTACTCTTGCTTAAAGACACACTGTTTGACTGTCTAGAGTCATGAGAACACAGAGCATTCTCCTAGCAGTTCGTCTACTTTCATAAACTACTGCTCAAAGCAAAACATTGTTCTGTCTGATGATGTTACTGCTGCACAAATGTTACTAAATTAAGAATTTAGCTTACCTTGACTTTAAAAATCTCTCGGTGCACAGATCCATAAAACAAGCGCTGCATGTGAGCAGCAGCAGTGAGATCAGGGAGGATCTCTTAAAAGTGTCCATGTAACGGACTCTGTAGTTTTCAGGAATTTTTTTTACAAGTTAAACCAAGAGACCAATGCGTTTTCCCAAACGCTGCATCAGTCCAAGCAGGCAAACAACGGTTCCGCCTTTTTGAATTTAGAGCTGTGATGCGTAATTTATTTTTTACGCAACCTTTTTTCTAACTTAACGTGTTAAAGTCCCCCCCCCCCCCCCCCCCCCAATTAGAACATGACGAGACATTGTAGGAACGTGAATATTTATAATGTTGGAACAATAACATAATGGTGTCATAAAATGATATTGCTATAATATTATTTTTGCATGGGTGTCAGCTCTTCGTCTCCTTACTCCAGGGCCATTGTGAGCCCCAACAAAGTTTCATACGCTTTATAGAGGCTCAATAAACAGTTTCCAAAGTCTTTCTTGGACAGCTTGAAAGTGCGATCTGAGTGTCAAGATCCTGATTGAGGAAAACAAAACTGCAAACCAGCTCACCAGTGGACGCTCCAAGTTTTACTTTATGCAGTCATCTTGCAGAACAATAACTTTTTAATCCTGCATTCAAAGTAAATCTCTGTTATTGAATTGTATTTGCAAACATCTTGTTTTAGTTCTTATTGGTTTCATCGGCCAAACTTTAAGCACAACCTGTGATTACTGCACACCATGAAGTGCAATAACTATGAGAACATTTTTGTTTAGTTTTATGTTGGCATTATAACAAATACTTATGCAATTCAAAGTGAATGAATTTCTATGAGCTGAAAATACCAAAGAAATCAGGGAATCAGGGAAGCCTGGGATCATATTTTGTCTGAGTAAAACATCTAATGTTTGAAGTTCTGAGTTAATTCTGAAAGCATGTGCATGGAGTGTTTTAGTGCCTCAGAACTGAATCAACAGCTATTGATCACCACAACTGGTAGGAAGTACAAATCGTACTTGTCAAACAAATTAGAAGGATTACTTTGTTGCAGTCGAGTGAAAGCTGCTGCCATAAATAATCGTTTCTGCCAGAAATAAAAAAATGTGTCAAAAGACCAGATTCATTTTTTTGGAATGGGCAATACATTTCCATTTTCATCATTTAATCAATTTCTCCACCTCAGATCCACCTTCTGGCTGCTGATGATCAATCAGGAAAGCAAGAAAAACAAGAAGTGGGAAACTTGAAATTCAGCTCGACTGATTGAGTTTCCCGTTTGTTGTGAGCCTCTTTAAAACTGTTCTGGCTCAACCGTTTTCTGTGCATTATAATGAGGCACAGCAATCCCTCAAAACACTTTTTTGCGGGGTGATGATGAAGAGAAGTGCATGTTGAAATGTGCGTCTGCTTCTTAACATTTGATGCTAACAATGTCCAGTTTCTGCACACATGCACACAGGAACAGGCAACTCCCTGATGCAACTTCATTCACATTTTGTGCAAAATCTCTCGCTGCAGATGTATTTCCTCCTTGAATTAAAGAAGACATTGTTATTTATTGTGAAGGTTTGCTGTCCACGAACTGATCTGAAGTGCCTGGTGATGTTAGATTTTTTGCAAAGAGTCCTGTTTTCAGCCTTCATAAAAAAATCAAATTTAAATTTGGTCAATTTCACACACCCAATACCAATTTAATAAGTGATTATACTGAAATATGCAGCCAATCGCCACCTTTTTGTTACTGGTCAATACATTCAGACCTGGTTTCCTGTTATTTTAATAAAAGCTTGGAACTAAAACTTCCATAGGTTTTCTCTTTTCTTCTCATTTTCCATCCCGTGTGTGTGAGTAAATGTCAAACCTGCTGTTGTTTATTAAATGAACAAGAACATAGGACGAAAAGGTTAATATATTCTTAAGTTAATCAAGAGGCCAAAATTCTGAAAGTCTAGGGAATTTGTACTAGAATGCAAAAAACTCACAGCATGGTTTAGATCTATCTGTCTGTCTGTCTGTCTATCTATCTATCTATCATCTATCTATCTATCTATCTATCTATCTATCTATCTATCTATCTATCTATCTATCTATCTATCTATCTATCTATCTATCTATCTATCTATCTATCTATCTATCTATCTATCTATCTATCTATCATCTATCTATCTATCTATCTATCTATCTATCTATCTATCTATCTATCTATCTATCTATCTATCTATCTATCTATCTATCTATCTATCTATCATCTATTTATCATCTATTTATCTATCATCTATATATCTATCATCTATTTATCATCTATTTATCTATCTATCATCTATCTATGTATCTATGTATCTATGTATGTATGTATTTAATTATTTAATAATAATAATAATAATAATAATAATAATAATAATAATAATAATAATAATAATAATAATAATAATAATAATAATAATAATAATAATAAATTATTATTATTATGTAATTTGAGTTCTCACAAGAAAAGCAAGTTGTTAGTTCTGCCACAAACATTCATTATAGTCCGGTACATCCATATATGCACATTTGCATCTATTCATGAAGGAAATTAGGGCTGGGAGGCTATGAATTATTTAGTGTTTACTTCACATCACTTCCATCCAGTATACACAGAAATCAAATGAATGCTGACATTGCCTTAATTCATCAGCTTTTGCTTTCACCAGCTCAATGGTACCGCTTAACATTGTGGTCTCTGTTTGAAATTCTCAGGAACTACACAATGTCATTACTTATGTGTGTATTTTACCGTCTTTATGTTTTTGTTTCAGGCTCAATCTGGGTAAGAACGACCAGTTGACCTTTTATGATGGTGATGACCTGACAGCCAACATCCTGGGTCAGTACAGCGGCACTCGGCCACACTTCAAGCTCTACACCTCCATGGCTGATGTGACCATCCAGTTTCAGTCGGATCCTGCCACCAACATCTACGGCTACAACAATGGATTTGTGGTTCACTTCTTCGGTGAGTCTACTGCCTCTTTCATTTTTCATTGTGGTACTCTAAATTAGCTAAATAAGCAAAATTTGCAGGAGGCGCTATGCTATGAAAACAAAATTCATTCCATGTATAGAAACATCTGTGCAGCACCTTCTCAAAGAAATGTTTAGGTTTGACATTGCTAGTTGCAAAGTGGGTCATTATTATGAGTACAAAGCTTTTTTTGCAATGTTTTAGAACAGCATTTCAACCCTAATGAGCAGATCAACTTTTGTCTTGGTTGCTATTATTCTCCAAATTGTGACGAAGGATTCACACTACTACAGCCTGCATTAAACATCTGTCTCTAACTGAGTCAGATGTTCCAGGAGAGAGACAGCTGCAGCAAAACGGAGAACAAAATCAAGCTAAATTCTACATTTCTCTCACTTCAAAGCTTGCAAACTGTGCCGTTTATTTTAGTTACCAAAATTGTCAAACTAGTGACCAACAGCTAGCCTGGCAAGCCAGACTGGCCATGCTCCATTGACGGCTCTCGGTTGTGGGGCGGGTTCTACCGTTGTCTTTCAAATGTCCGCATTCCACTGGACAATGAATGTGACATACTCTTGTTTCACTCTGTTGCATCATCCCACCCACCAGGCATATAGAGTGCCCTGGTTGGCCCACAAATCGGATAAAGCTCTGTGATTTGTTCACTAAGCAGATAGAGCACTATGATTGGCCCACCATTATGGACCAATCACAGCTCTTTATGTGTTTGAAACCCCTCTAGAGAGCTGTGATTGGCTAGCCAGAGTCCTGGTAGGAGCTGCGGAGGTTCCAATGGAGCGTGCCTAGACCAAACTTTGCAAAGCAAGAATTTGGTCTAGTTCACTAGGCTAACCAACAGCAGCAGCACTGTACAATCCAGACCTACGGTCCCCTTAGCCTTCTTTCGCCACCAGGGGGCACCACAGCTCTTACAGCACCAATGCATTTGACAAAACTGAGTAAAATCAATTCCTTCTTCTCTCTTCCTGTGCTTCTGATTTAGCCCAGATGCACAGAATTAGATGATAAAAGACAAAGAAAAACAATAACAACAAACAGCTGATTCAACCCAGTGCTTTTTAGGTACTAGACATTTGTGCAGCCCTCAAGAAGGCAGATATTGACAGGTGCCGAGCAACATGCTGTGTTCCTTCCAGCTCACATCACAAACCTCTGTTTACATTTTCTTTATTTTTCCCTTTTCCTGTTGAGACCACAAAAAACTCAACAGCCACATCGATTCTCTGCAGAAGGTGTTACATATTAATGTTTGGCTTTCCTCGAGGCTCTCTAACACACCTTTCCCCTTAAAATAAAGTGTTTTCTTTGTTCTGCTCCCAAGTCTTGATTTCTAATTTTTATTTCTCTCCCATGAACGTGATGCACATAATAATGAACAGAGGTGCCAAGGAATGACACATGCCCGGAACTGCCGGAGATCCCCAACGGGTGGAAGAGCACATCCCACCCCGACCTGATCCATGGCACCGTGGTCACCTACCAGTGCTACCCCGGGTTCACGCTGGTGGGCTCTGAAATCCTCATGTGCCAGTGGGATCTCACTTGGAGCGGTGACGTGCCAAGATGTGATGAAGGTGAGAGGGGGGTTTGAAAAACATCTGACACCTCTGTCTGGTTATAAAAGTTGGGTGGAAACCAAAAAATTCTAAAGCAAAAGTTCGGAGAACACAACTTTTGGTATGTAAAGGCTCATTTATGTGCGGAAACTAGGAAAATGTTCAAGTTTTAATGAGGATTCTTTACCGTCTCACCACAGATTTATACTAAACTATCCATGAAAACATTTTTAATGAAATAAAAGTAATTAAAAGAGCAAGATGTAAGAATACTTCAGTGAAAGGATCACAGAACAGTCTAATGTCTCGATCATGTTGGAAGGAAGGTTACATTTAAATGGCTCAGTTTTTCTCATTTTAAAAAACAAAACAAAAACGTAGTTATTGTTTACAACCAGTGAGCCCGTGAAATTACAGAATCTATGCTAAGCGAACGCTACAGTGCCAGCAGGCTAAAAGCTTCTTTTAATGAGTTGTTCAGAACTTCAACAGCAAGATGGCAAAAAACCACACTTCCTCTACGTCCAACGACGGAGGCATATTACCGTAATGAGTGTTGTAAGTACTCCCTTCCGAAAACCACCTAAGAGTGCTAACACCAGATATGAAAATGTATTTATCAACTTACTGTCTATGACTCGTTTTTGCTGGTCATCTACAGTAGAACCAGTTTTGTTTATAAAAACAGGCTGCAGTGCCCACATTTGACCACACGAGGTGCACATTTAAATAAGAGAACAATCAACTTACGAAGTTTTTACTTAATGTTTTAGTCATTATTCATTAGGTTTGTCTACTGTCTTGACCTTTTTATAATATCTGAGGGACCTTTTAACATTTTCAGGCTATTTTATTTGGAACAACAGTCACATATTCATTTTAGTACAGAAATCTGTCACGAACCGTTTGAAATGCTTAAAATGCTGGTTTTGATGACAGTTTTGTGATAAATGTAAATACTTAGCAGAACTAGCAACATCATGAGCACCTTAATACAAACTTAGGGAAATAAAATGTAAATCAAATAAAACGCATGTAATCAATCAGTACCACAAAACTAAGGCTAATTGAATGCTTTAAATTTTAACCCTTAGATGCAAAAACGACCCCACAGGTTGTTATTCTTCAAAATCTTTAAAATGAAAATTTGTTATATATTCATATTCCAGGTATTCCTCATAAAACATGTTTGTTACATGGAGCCATTTGCATTTTAATTTATTTTTTCATTACTTTTAAAAACTGACCCTACTTTTCCACAAGTGGGGTCAAAAATAATCCCAAGCATTTTCTATGGATTATTTTATGAACATTTAATTCTTAGCAAATCTGATTGTCCCACTTACACATCTGATGCATGTAAGCAGAGGTGTGACCAAGTCACTGCTTTGTCAGTCACAAGTGAGTCACTAGTCCTTCCAGTCAAACCTCAAGTCAAGTCCAAGTCAAAGACAATCAAGTCCAAGTTGAGTCCAAAGTTAATGATGTGTAAGTCCAAGTCAAGCCCAAGTCCTTAACTTTGAATTTTCAAGTCATAATCAACTCATCTGTCCAACTTCAATTTAATGACAATGAAAATAAATAAATTCCAGAATTAAAGCTTCTTAAAGCTTCATTTATTTGCTCAAACAAGCAAAAAGTGCAACTGAAATTTAGCAGAACAAGATCAAACCCAGAACCAAGAATGATTTATGATTTTTGTCCATGTCGTGCCACTTTTGTGCTAAAATATCAAATATGCTCAAGTCATCATCAAGTCAACAGATGCAAGTCGATTCAAGTCGCAAGTCATTGGCGTTCAAGTCGTAAGTCTTTATAGATTTTATCAAGTCAATTCAGAAGTCATTAAAACAGTGACTCGAGTCTGACTCGAATCCACAACTCTGCATGTAAGTATTATCTCCATTTTTAACAGATTGTAATTTGTGATCAGATTAGCCTCCTTTGTTGTTAGCTAACAGCATTGTGTTTAGGTAGGTAACACTGTATTGTATTAGCAAACAGTAGCTAACAATGCACCACAGCAATGTGGCAGATGAAAACAACCCAAAGAAAAACACAGAAGTGATTCTCTTCTACAACCAAAATAGACACTATGGACCAGGTGGTTGGCAACTACGCCTGCAAAAGCCAGGCATAAGGGGGGCCCATGGTCCTTGGTACAACATGATTGATGCTTATCCGGTTTTTGGGGGCTTCACACCCTGAATTTTACATAGACATCACCGATGGATGATGACACTTCCTCACAGAGCTCTCAAAGGAGCTTGTGACACCTCACATGAAAAGTTGACTGGAAGGTATCCTAACCCTACCAACCTACATCAGTGAAGCAATGGGAAGGTGTGAAGTGACAAAAACTTCTGCAATCCGGCCACAGGAAAGAAGAACACAGGGCCAGCAGAAGAGAAAGAGGTGCCAGTTGTGTTAAAGACACAAAGATCTCAACGCCACTGATTGATGATGGAAATGCAGTACCCCTGTCTGCAGTGGTCACAGCCAGGTGCGAGTAGTTTGTGGCAGCTCCACACAGTCAGAGGAGATGAGATGTTTGTGCGTGTACATACGTGTGGACAGTGTTATAATCTCCGGACCTGCTGGATGTTCTCTGTTCGTCCTCCTGACAAACACTTTTTGAAACCCGATTGATTGATCTGCTGGTAAAATGTGAATCGTAAGAAAAAAAATGTATCAGTCAGAGGACTCCAAAGAGTTTTACACTACATTTTATCATCCATTCACACACTGATGGTGAAGAACTACATCGTAGCCACCGCTGCCCTGGGGCACTCTGACAAAGGCGAGGATGCTGAGCACAGGCGCCACCGGTCCCTCCAACCACCAGCAGGCAAGGTGGGTTAGCACACTAACCTTCCAATTACTGAACAGCCTGCTCTACCGGTGGTGATACAAAAACTGTAATTTCTTAAAATTAATGAAAACAAAAGAAATGCAAATGGCCTCATGCCACAAACATGTTTTATGAGGAATACATGGAATATGAACACATTACAACTCTTCATGTAAAAGACTTTGAAGACTAAAATCCAGTTTGTTGCAAAAGCGCATTGATTTTTATTTGGGTCATTTTAACCCCACTTGTGGAACAGTGTGTGTGTGTGTTGGTAAGTTGTGCACCCAAGGGTTAAACAAATGAATAAAACACGCATCCATGAACTTATTTATCATCATCTAAGCACCTTAAGAAAAACGTGTCAAACTTTATAGCTTTTATTGAAGCAGATGGTGTTTTTTTTCAGCATCACAGAAAAAGTCATCATAAAAATCTATAGAAAATAACAGAATTATAGGGCTACACCAGATATTGCGTTTGAAGTTAATCTTTTAGATTTATTTTAAGATAGAATATTTGTATTTTCAAAGACATTTAACACCTGTTATGTTCACTCTTTACATGCATTTTCAGAAAAGTTTAACTTAGACCAGAAAATTTCAATAAAACAATAAGCTAGAAATAAAAGGTCAAATTAAATAGAAATTGACTTTTCTGAAATCTCTGAAGAAAATTTTGTTCAGACTGAAGCTTTTATGAGCATAGATGGTTTCTTGCACATAAACTTTAGCAGTAAAACTCTCTTTTTTTTTGGTTTTGGTTGTTTTACTCTACTAAACTTTCATCATTATCTTTTGTCTTTTTAAAATCCACCAGTTTTGACGTGTCGAGATCCTGGGAACGTGGAGCACAGCCGTAAAGTGATGACAGGCAGCCGCTTCGCCGTCGGAGCCACGGTCCAGTTCATCTGTAACAAAGGCTACATCCTTTCTGGATCCAGCGTCCTCACCTGTTACAACCGAGATTCAGCCGTTCCTAAATGGAGCGACAGGCTGCCCAAATGTATTGGTCAGTCACAAATCCGTTTTTTAATTCCTTGTTTAATCAAATCAAACAAAAACAAAAATGAACCTTCTTGCCCCTCAGCTGAGAAGTACGAGCCGTGCAGAAACCCTGGAGCAGTCTCCACCAGCGTGCAGAGCTCTGAAAAGGCCTTTTACCAAGCAGGAGAGACTCTCACCTTCTCCTGCAACTCTGGGTACGAGCTGCAGGGCGGCGCCACCATCTACTGCGTCCCTGGACACCCTTCACAGTGGAACAGCACTCCTCCTGCCTGCAGAGGTTAAACAACCATCTGTTACATCTTACTTTTGAGAGTTTTGAGCTGTGTGTTTATCGAGGTCTGTCTTTGCAGCAGCTTCAGCACAGTATGTAAGTGAACGACGGCTCGATGGTAAGGCTTTAAAATCAGGACAGCAACAACTATTTATTTTTATTTTTGAAAATTGCTCAGAAGTCATGGTTTTTTTCCATTTTGTCTTCTTCAGATGTCAATATGGATTATAGCATGGAGGGAACCAATATTACTCTTGCAGTTTTCATTCCTACTGCCATCATTTTGGTGGTTGTTTTAGGGATTTACGTCTACTTTGCAAAGTAAGTAACAAATAAATGTTATTCTATTCATTTGTAGTTAAAAACAAAAGCTTCAAAGGCTGTTTTTTCTTTCTTTGTTCAGATTTCAAGGGAAGTCTGTCCGAATGCCCGCGTCCTCACCTCCGTATGACAACATGATGGAAGAGTCGGCTTTTGACAACCCGATATACGAAAGTGGAGTAAGTACAGATGTTCTGAGCATGCGGGACGTCGACTCACAAAACACCAGCGTGTTGTCGTGATCCACCTCCCATCTGCCTGTCGACCCAGTCATCTCATGTTCCACCAGCAGAGGGCGCCATCCTTCTCATCCTCCATCACTCATCACCAGTAGGAGTGGATATTCTTAAATTATAACAGATGGACATTTTTCTTCACCTTTATCTTATGTTAGAGGTCGTTTAGTTTTTTCATTCATCGTCTCTGAGTGAAAGGTTTGACATTGTGACCATTTATGCTTTATTTTGTCATTTACTTTTTATTTAACCTTTCAAACGAGTTATTGTGTTTTATGTGATGTTTTTTGTCTTTTATGCTTCTCACTGATTGAATGGCTAACCATGGCATAAATGAAGTATTGTTTCTTTATTATTATTATTGTGTCTCTCTGCTTCTTCAGCACTGGCAGACTCGTTGTCGATACTAAACTCTGTCAGTATTTCCACTTTGGCTTTCCTGCAGGACAACTGAAAGGTAAGAAATGTCCTTCATGCATGCTCACTGTCCTAAAGTCCAGCTTTTTGGACATTTTTTGGAACGTTTTTGTTCTAATCTGATTTCAGATGGATTAGATTATAATTTTTATTTATTTATTTATTTATTTTCATTTTGAATTTTCAATAGATGGAAGCAATTAGATTTTCTAGTTGTGGGAATGCTTCTTTCACACTTTTTCATTTTCGAGTACAACATACAAATCGTCATTTTTTCTTTTATTTAGATTATTCAGTTAAATTTTGATTTAAATAATATTTTAAAGTAATATTTCATTTTTCAGAGCTAATAAAAAACAAAGTATTTGATGTTCGCCTGTTTAAAATGCATTTTTACTCTCATGAAACTGTAATTAATGAGCCGTCTGTTATTTCCAGGACAAATGAAACAGATTAAGGAGTGTCCGTTTAAAGACCTTAAAGCAAGAACTGTTCCAGCTTTGCCTTGTGGGACTTTCTGCACTGCTCATGTTTATCTCCAAGCTGCTTTTATTTTTATTTCTGTTCCCATTTTGATTTCCTGTTCTGTTTGTATTCATGTAAATAAGTCTCTCTCTTTTCTGCACAGTCAACGCTGTGAATCTGTGTAACACCAAGGTGATATTTTTATAAAGAAAGCTGTTGATAACCATTGGTGGTTGTATGTTTTTGAGTACTTCTCGATGGCCCATAATAAGCAGCCAGTATTTAGAAAAGACAGGAGGATTTTATTTTGAAGGATTTTATCTGATTGTTTTCATTTTGAACACTTGATTAAATCTCTTATTCAAAAGTCTTTGCAAAGTTTGTCTTCTTTGTGTGTGTGTGTGTGTGTGTGTGTGTGTGTGTGTGTGTGTGTGTGTGTGTGTGTGTGTGTGTGTGTGTGTGTGTGTGTGTGTGTGTGTGTGTGTGTGTGATTGCTATATTGTAAATAAACTGCCCGTCACAACAGACTGTAACCAGATGAATCAAATGTGAAAATGTTTGTCAAACAGAATCTTTTGGACAACTATTATTTTCTACTTCCTGGCCTGACACAACACTACATCTTGAGTTCATCTTTATCCACAATATATGATCTTTTTGTGCTATTTATCACAGGTTGGGTAAGTGTGGCTCCAACAACATGAAGCTTCTCTGATTTTTAGGGACCCATCAGTTAATTTTCTGGCTTTAATTATAAAATCTGCCTCAAATGACGCCTCTGTTCCAGAGCACGATTCCACTCTGACCGTGAGACAACACTAAATAAAACCGTAGACATCACCATTGCTGGATTTGATGTATGCCTGACTCACCTGATGCTGAGTCAGGCACCAAATAGCTGATGCTACAGAGACAGCTTGTGTGCTCTGATAATAACACACAGAGCTGTGGTGCATCTGTTTGTGTTAAAATCAGTGTATTTCTCTTATTTACTCCTCAGATTTTTCTCTTTTTAGCTTCACACACACACACACACACACACACACACACACACACACACACACCAGGGAAACCAAACCTCCTCCATCCCTTACATAATGAAATAAACATTTAAACCTCTGTCACTGACTCATTAATGAGTGGAAACACTAAAAGCAACGACCGCGTTAGACATTTGTTTATTTTAAATCATTGTTCTCATTTTAAGCATCAATGCGATACTTTTACCTTTATCAAACTGCAACTGACAGCTATTTAAGACTGTTTTCTTATGGGTGCTAATGGCATAAATAAAGATTTATGATGCAGCTCTGTTGGTTCCCATCGTTAAGTGAAGCCTGCACAGAGGGCCGGCTTGTTCATTTTCATATAATCACTGTTTTTAAGTGAATTTATTATAGAAGATTGTATTTAATAGCAAACAGCATCAAGATAAGAATGTGTGGAAAAAACAAAATTAAACCCTTGGAAAAAATCTCAGAGTTTTACTATTTCTAATGTTTGTTTACAGCAATGGGGTTGGGACTTAAATTTAATTTGCAACCTGCAGTTTTTTTTTCCCTTTTTGCTTCAAAATCAACTTTATCTCCCTCTGTCCAGTCCTCACGCATCAGTCATTGATGGAATACTTGTCCATGAGCCCCCACATTGGACACTATACTGTCTGACATAATACTAAATGTGGCAACGTGGAGAAACGAGGGCCCGGGTGGGATTCGATCCCCAACCTCCCAGTTGATGGTCACGCTCGCTAACCAGTCAGCCAAAGGTACATCCCTGTGTTCATGTAGCCAAGGCCCAGGGCGCACCATAAATCGGGATTCAGTGACAGGATGCTCACCCTGTCACATACGTAAACAATAGTACATGTTAATTTGTGAAAAACTTATTTTTCTAATCTTCTCAAGTTATACCTAATAGTAAAGGTGACTAATGAGCTTTACAAAAATAAATTATTTTATTATTTTATCACTTGTTGCCATTATGAGTAAATAAATCAAACATTTTTTATCCAGTGTTGTTTTTCTGAGTCAACAAGTACAGACAGGCTTTTACCACTAGATGGCAGCAATGTGACATGTAGGGTATGTAGGAGAGGGTTGTTTCCTATACTTATGTTGCTTTCTTTTATTTATTATAGAAATATTAACCAGAAAAAAATTAAGTTTTTTTATTTGAAGTCTGACTATGTCCGAGTTTTGATCACAGTGTTTAGGTTTGACAAATAAACAGATGACCCCTTTTGCTTGGAGAAGTAAAAAAAATGTAAATAATGAAACTTAATTTAGCTGCGATCTTTTTCTGTTTTAGCTTCATTTTCAAGTTGACTGAAGTCATTTTGTGAAAGTTCCAGATGATTAAAAGTCAGAGGAGGAGATCCACTAAATGTGATCCACAAAGGTTAACTTTATTCCGTCCTGTCTATCCGTTCGTGGTCCTTTAGTTTAATTTGCATCTTGGTGAGTTATATCTGATAAAGTGATTTGTTTTATATGAGGTGCATCCAGCCAGAGGGTTTTATCACCACGCCATTTATTTTTTTATTTTGTTTTCCGTTCCCGTGTTTATGCGGGAGCCGGTTTATCTGGGTGGATCATTCGGAAGCAGTCACCCATGATTTCAGCTGAGCTTCCATTCTGATGTGGGGACAGAGAGCAGCTTGAGCCATTAAAATGCTAATTTCCCACACAGTTTGGAGGGGGTGGGGGGGTGGGGGGTGGCCGGGGAACCCACTTGTGTGTTGGCTTGTTTTCTGTTATTTATTTCTTCGTCACTGGCAGTAATGCAGGGTTTTAAAAGCTGTAAAAGGTCAAAATAAGTATAAAATGTAAAATTAAACACAAATTCTAAAAGGTAAAATGTTTTATTTTGCTTGTGTGTGTGTATGTGCGTGCGCGTGCGCCATTGTTTTCAAACTGCATTTGGGAATCCAGCCAGTAGGTGGCAGTATATCACCAAACAAGCTGCTTTTGTCAACAGCATCGTGAAGACCTTCACCACTACTTTCATACTCCCACGGTGCACCAGTGGCAGGCTGCGGATGGCTCACAATTAAACTAAAATGTCCTGCTCACAATCCAGTGGAGACTGGGACATGGCAATTAACCCACTAATACAGCAGACAGTTAGACCTCCCGCTCTGTGTCGGCAGCTTCAGGGTAACTCGCCACGGGGCTGAGGGGGAAATGTAGTTTAATGTAATGACCCATTCAAAGAGGCTGCTGTACAGCATTCACTGAAGGCGCTGGTAAAACTCAAGCACCAGAGTGAATGGAAACAGGGGAGGCGGCTTTGGTGATGATTTAATAATTCATAAGCATCTGAGCTCAGTGCTTTCGGAATAAAGTGTTTATTTCTTTTGGATTCGCTTACAAAAAATGTAATTTTTAAGGTAATTTAGACAGTGACCAAAAGAATGAGATCGTGGAGACAAAATGAGAAGCTTCATCATTTGGGAGGGACTCGGAGTAGATGCGCTGCTTCTCCACATTGAGAGGAGCCAGCCAGATGGAAGGGTTCGGGCATCTAGTTAGGATGCCTCCTGGGTGCCTTCCTGGTGAGGTTTTTTGGATATATCCAGCCAAGAGGCCCAAAGGAGTACCAAGGACACGTTGGAGGGACAATGTCTCTCGGCTTGCCATGGAACACCTTTGGATTCCCTTGGAGGAGCTGACACAAGCGGCTGGGGAGAGGGAAGTCTGGGCCTCTCTGCTTGGCCAACTGTTCTCTGTAGCCTTTGTGGGTCCAGGAAGAACATGACCACCAAGAGTTTATTGATCACCTTCTAGGCATGGCTTCAAGAAGTTGACTTAAGCCTTGTTTATACTTCTCTGTCTGTGGCGATATGGAGACACACAGCACCATAATTCATGAACGCAAGTACACTTTGGCAGGTTGTTTAAAGATAGTGCCAAAAGGTATGTAGCAGCACTCATGGAGCAGACAGAGAAATACATAAGCACTACACCATACATACAAATACACCATTGTGGACCACAGATGTGACTGCAATGGTGGCAGAAAAGTGTTACGCCCTTAATTGTCATGGTGGGCAGTTGCTTGGCAGCACTCCCCAGGCAACAAAGAAGTCTGTGAGGAAAATGTCTCCATCCATGCAAATCGGTGTCCAAGTTGATGGACAAGTATGAACCAGGCTTAAGTTGTTCTTTAGGGCTTTGCATTGGTCTGAGTCTGACCTCTTCCCTGATGCCTGCACATGGGGGTGGTGCACCCCCTCTACCATTGGAGGAGTTTAAGTATCTCGGCATCCTCTTTGGCATGGTGGAGTGGTGGTTTTAATACAAAAAAGGTCAAAACTCTAAACTTTGTGGTCCAACCTTCATGATTAGGATCCTGCGCATGCGTGGCTGAAATGGATTTCCGCAATAAGGTGGCTTGGTTCGCCCTTAGAGAGAAGGTTGGGGGAGCTCCAAGTAGTGCTTGGAGTAGAGATTCCTCGTTGATGAGTCAGCTAAGGTTGTTGGGGGTTTGGATGGTTGTCTTTCTCTGGAGGTCCCACAGGGTAGATCCAGAATTCATTGGAGGGATTAAATATCTTTCGCTTTGGGGACCCCGAGGAGGAACTCAAGAGGGAAGTCTGGTTTTCCCTCCTGGATCTTCCATCTCCATGACCCAATCCTGGATTAGCAGTGAGAAATGAAAGTATTTTTAAATTGGCAATTACTTCAGTTTCCAAGGCAGACACGTTTCAGCCTCTGAGGCTTTATTTGTTTGTTATTATTTAAATCTGTTTATTCGGCCTTTAAAGCCACCAGGAGTGGGACAGGAGCAGCTCAGTGTAAGACCAGGGAACATTTAAGCTGCCTAACCTTTAAGGTGGAATCGAGCACAGCCAGAAGTGATGCAGGATGGGTTAGGGTTAGGGTTAGGTTCAGTTCAAATCTCACAAGTTTGACTTTTGCTCATGAACAGGTGGAGCATTTGGGCTTTTACTTTTATAGCATCTGATTTGTGCACAGAGACTTTACTAGAAATACATTTTTATGTTTTTACTGCTAATGATTCCAGCAGTAACGAGATATACAGTCATTTTAAGCTGCACTCAAACTCCTCGGTGTTGTTTATTTTTTATTATTTAAAATAAAAAATTCTCCTTTTTGCTGCCTTTTTAGTCTCCTGGGAACTGGGGCTTATGAGGCAGACGGCCACGTCACATTTCAAAAACCATGCTCACCGTCATTGTTGTTAACTGCAGCCTCAGGAAGCCATTTTGCATGAAACAAAAGGGATATCCTTTGGCACGCGTCTGGCGGTACTTGATCTGGCAAGGTGCCAGTTTGGACTCTTCTGCATATGTAAGGGTTCATGGCTTTCTGTACAAAACCAGATCCCTGAGACTCAAACAGAGAA